TAGGTTTATGTATCTCACTGCTTTTAGGGATATCCTAAGCAGCAAGGACGAGGCTCTCACCAGGACCTCCCTTGGATTCATGACATCATAGCAGGTATATCTCCCCATATATAAAAATCACCAGGATTCAAACAGAGGGGCTGTCCTTTAACAGTCCAACCTACTCTAATCACTTCCCCAAAATTTCTCACTCTAAACACCACAGTCAGATTGTCTACTCTCCTAAACTCATTTATGTAAGACATCAGGGATTAAACTCCTGCATATTCAAAGCCATATCTATCTTCACTCCTTTCATTTGAGCCATGGTGTAGGGCTATAAATATGGAACAAGGCTCAAGAATGATGTGTCAAAGCCCACAAACTCCATTATAACTAGATAATCTGCTAACCACAACAGCTTTGCATCATTTCCCCAATGATAAGGATAGAAGATCCTCATTTCAGCCATCTGGATCCTGTGATAGATAGAATGACAAGAATCTGAAGGACTACTCTGAGACTCCCATTTGATGTCTGCCTTTAAATCCCTATAGGAGACAGCTTGAGTACATGCACTGCCCTTTATTCCGTGAATGGAGAGACAGTATACCTGATCTCTTTAAAGTATTTGCAATGAGCATCAGATGAAATCCAAACTTGGAAGACAACTGGTACATTGACCAGTTTTTCAAGCACGGCATAGGTCCAGCAGCTGAGAGTTGTCTGTATAGTGAATGACTTAAAGAAAGCCATGAATCTTAGCATATCCACTAGACAGCTGTTGGTTTAAAAATAGAGCTGATTGTGTCCTGGATACTTGGAAACTGAGATGTTCTATAGACACCATTGCTACCCTTGTGGGCTTCTGTGCTTCAGGGGAAATGCCAGGGGAAGTCTTTTCTAGAGAAGTAGGTTTTTGTTTGTTTACATTTGTGGCATATATTTGTTATGCAAAAAGGTTTCTTCAGCCAGGCACAGATGGCTCACACCTGTAATACTCAGGAGGCTGAGACCTGAGAATCATGGTTCAAAGTCATCCCAGGCAGTAATGTGCATGAGACTCATATCCAATTACTCATAGAACACTGGAAGTGACACAGTAGCTCAAAGTTGTAGCCTTGAGCACAAAAGCTTGGAGACAAGCCAGGCGCTGGTGGCTGATGCCTGTAGTCCTAGCTACCCGGGAGGCTGAGATCTGAGAATGGCTGTTCAAAGCCAGCCTGGGCAGGAACACCCATGAGACTCTTATCTCCAATTAACCACCAGAAAACAGGAAGTGGTATTGTGGCTCAAGTGGTAGAGTGCTTGCCTTGAGCTGAAGAGCTCAGGGACAGCACCCAGGCCCAGAGTTCAAGACCGATGACCAAAAAAAAGAAGCAAGCTTAGGAACAGTACCCAGGCCCCAAGTTCAAGCCCAGGGGAGGGTTCTTTGTGATATATTCATACATGCAAATAATGCACCCTAATCAAATTCACTCACTTTATAAACCTCTCCTTCATACCTACCCCCACTTCTTAAACAACATCAGTAGGTTTCATTGTTCTATTTTATCCATGCATATAATGCACTTCAACCATACTTAATTCTCCCTTACCTTCTCCTTTCTCTCTTCAACCCCAAACAGAACCTGGTTTACAAGCTTGTCATTAATTTTAAGAACCAGAGAGGGGTAGGTGTCAAATTGATACTCAGAGCATGGATAAGATTCAGCCAGGCACGGAGCAAGGAGAAGCATCCTCCAGGAAACAAGGCTCAAGGTGTTCCAGGCAGAGACAACCACAAGGGTAAAGAGCCAGAAACTGTAGAGCATGGTTCATCCAAAACCAAAAAGAGTCCAATATGGGTGAACAGTGGGGGTGGGCAGAGGGCAGGCAGGACCAAGGATGCTTGCAAGGTTCAGAGCTGAGGTGCTTTCCTGGTGCAGTGGAGATGCACAAAAGGCAAAGGGCTTATGAACAGTGTCTCCAGAGAGACACTTAGATTCCTGGCTGCTTGTAGGGTGGAAAGTGGATTGGAGGAGTGAGAAACAGCTGAGAAACAAGGATAGAAGAACAGGGGAAATGGAGTATATGTGAAATGTGTGCACTGAAGGGACATTTTGCTAATTTTCAAAAGACTGAATGCAGAGTCAAGAGTGGCGGACGACCTGGCTTTGCCCGAGATTGCAAGCAGCTGTGTAACAACTTCCCTTCCTCTGTCCACTGTTCTGCCTACTTGCTTTACTCTCTCTCTCTCTCTCTTCCTTCTCTTTCTTTCTTCCGTTCCTCTACCTCTCACACTCTGCTGAATGATTCTCATTAAAGCATAGCAATCTGGCCTCTCTGTCTATGTGTGTCTTTATTACTCTTCTTACTGTCAGCTAACACATCTAACTAACACAGTCAACACTTTCTCTGAGAAGATATGCAAGTCATTAACTCAAACTTGGGAACTTCCCTTTACAAGTCTTATGTTGAAATAAATGGAAACAGTCCAGGCCTCCAGGGGTAGGGTGTCCTTATTTGTAGACTATCTTATATAAATGTGCATGGGAATTAGGAAACCCTAATTTCAAGCATATTAAGTAGACAAGAGAAGCTAGTTACTACAACCTGTTTGAAGTGTACTTGGATCTCACTGGCCCCACAACACTGCTTCTACTTCTATCCAGTAGCATTTACTTTCTGCCCCTTGTAACTTCTCCTGCCTCTGCATGAGAGGCAATCATTCAGGTAAGAAATACTGTGGAGATCTTTCTGGAATGCATCCTTATGATTAACATCTTAAAGAATTCTGATAGTAGTAATAAAGATGATGATGATTAGTTCTCTTTTAGTCATATTATCATCAATCAGAGAAGACTCTCTAGACAGATTTCAAATAGTGACACCATCAGGTCTAGGATTAGGGACCAAACTTTGACTCTCTACTTCTATGACTCTGAGAGTGATGCCTCCTGAAATTTAATTGTGACAGAATGTACACAACATGTAATTTCTCAACTATAAGTGCTGTTAGTACATTCAGAGGCATCAGGTACATTCATGGTGTATATCCATCACCACCATCCATCCCCACAACTTGTTTCTCTTTATAACAGAAACACTGAGTCCATTGAGAATGCCCTTCCCCAGTTCCCACCTCTTAAAGCTACCATTCACTAATGTTTCTCTCCATGAATCAGACACCATTGACTCCTCATAGAATTATATAGCTTACGTCCTTTTTATGACTTTCTTGTTTCTCTTTTAGTACTAATCTCAAGATTTACGCATCTGTGGCAGCATCTGTCCAATTATATTTTAATGTTTTATGGCACATTTGAAATGTATCCATTTATCCATCAATGGACCCTTGGGGTGTTTGCATCTTTTGCCTGTTGTAAATCATGTTGATAGAAACACAAACAGTCTTTCTTTTTCCCTGCTTTCAAACCTTCTGGGTATGTAACCAGAGGTGAGGTGGCTAGATCCTATGGTAATAGTGACTCACGACCACTACACCTTTCCATAATGGATATCTCATTTTACTTTCCCACCAACAGTGCAGAAGGGATCAAATTTCTTCACATCCTCACTAATACTTGTTATTTTCTGTGTATATGTGTGATAGTAGCCATTCTAATACATGAGATGAGGTGGTATCATGCTATGGTTTTGATGTACATTAATCTAGTCCATCCCCAGTGAGGCTGAGTGTCTTTTAGTGTGTTTTCTGGTCACTTGGTTATCTTTTCTGTATAACAACATTCAAGTTTGTTCAGTTATATCAGTTATCTGCCTACTTACCCCTTATTAGATACATGACTTGCAAATATAGTCAGCCTTTGCACATTGATTGCCTTAAATGTGTCCTTTAATGCCTCAATAAACCTTAGAGTTTAGTACTACAGGGATCACAAACATATGGTCTCTTTTGCACTTAGATTTCTGAAAGTTTAAGCATTTCATTTTCTTTTTCATCTGAAATCCTTTATCCACTTGGGGTAGCCCCTTCCAAAGGTTGTTTTGGAATCCTGGGCTGACCTGTCTTCATTGTTACAAGAAAACAGCAGCATCCAAGGAAGGTTTCTGCAAATATTTCCATCATGCCATCCCTCTGTAGAGACAGAAACGTTGGAATGTTTATTAAATGATAGTGATGTGCCAGGAACTGTCCTGCATATCTTATACAGAACATGTGCATGAAGTTACCATGTGTTAATTCTTGAGACAGACTTAAGAGGTGTATGCTAATTTGGATCCCCATCTCATCGACTGCAGCAAGGTCGAATATATTGCTGATGGTAACAAAGCTAATAGGTAGCAGAACTAGGATTTGAACCACCGAAGCTGAATACAAACCATGGCTAATATGATGTCTTCCTCATATTTTATTTTTTAAAATTATTTCAAAATTTGGCAGCATCTAATACAGTTGGCTTCCAGAAAAGCTTCATGAAAGTATCTTGTCTTTCCTCCTAAAATCCCCTTTCCTTCTCTTGGCTCACAAGAGTTGAGCCTCCACATAAATCTATCCGCCCCAATTAATACTCTCTTCCTAGGTAAGTGCATCTGCTAAAATCAAGGCCAAGAGTTAGTTAGCCCCAGGCATACCATCTTAGATCAATGAGGCTCTATCTCTGCTCTTCCTCCTCCAACAGGACATGGCAAACTATTTGAAAGCTGTCCCTCACTCTTGGGCACCAAAGCAAGGAGAAAGCATGCAAGTCTCCTTTCTTTGGCTGAGAACCAACAAATGAACCCCACTTACTGTGTTTAATGTCTTAGCAAGCCATCCATCTCAGAGAAAGGAAGAATGTATTCGTGTAGTCACATCTTCTCCTTGGCAAATAAATGATGTATGTTTTGCCTGTCCTTTAACTACTACTGGATTTTAGTGGAGTACAAGTAGAAGCCCTGCCCACCCCCATGGAACAAAATGTCTTAGTAAATTTACTAAGAAAAGACTCACCTGGGTAGGTACCCGCATTGATCCTGAGGTGGGGAAATGGCTGCCTTGTGTCTGTTGTCTAATCATTGTGACTTGCTCTCTGCAGGGTCATCTGGCTCCACTTTCAGACCGGTACGTGGGTATATCCTTTGTTTGCCACACTCAGCCCCCTGGGAATAGCAGCCTTCTTCTCTCTCAGCTACATCTTGAGTGCCAGCATCTACCTGCTTGGAGAGAAGCTCAACTACTGGAAATGGGGTCAGTGGTCCCTCTTATCCACAAAGCCACTGCTTTCTTACCCTTTCTTCATACCTCCTAGAAACTGAAGGCAATGGTGCTTGATGACTCTGTCCAGAGGACTCAGATAGGTCCTACCAAAGTTGTCAAAGGGAAAGCTTGGGGTACATTGGATTTTTCTCAAGACTGTGTCAAATTGCCCCTCTCCTCCTCAATCAACATCTCATTTAAAACAAAAGCTAAATTGTGTCTAGAGAGATCAAGATCAAGAGAATAAGATACTGACTGTCCATCGTGTGTGTGTGTGTGTGTGTGTGTGTGTGTGTGTGTGTGTGTGTGCGCGCATATCCTTTGCCCAAGTGAGGACTTCAGGGACATGAGTTGTAGCGATGTCCCAATTTCCTTTTGAAGGAAGTGGATCCAAGTTGACCCTCTTAGGAGTGCCAATGTAGCTGAGTTGCAATCCATCAGGCTGCTTCTCAACCTTCATAAACAAATTATCAGATAGAATCACATTGTGCTTGGGATAGAAATTTTCATTGAGCACAGAGTTCTTGGCAATGTTCATATGTCAGCTTTCTTGATCACTTGGGTAGAAGCGTGATGGGTTTTTTTTATAATAATAATCCCAGTTTAAGGCTGGGAAGGTGGCTCAGTGGTAGAGTGCTTGCCTTGCATGCCTGAGGCCCTGGGTTCTATTCCTCAGCACCACATAAGCAAAAAGAAAAAAGCCAGAAGTGGTGCTGTGGCTCAAGGGGTAGAGTGCTATCCTTGAGCTGAAGAGCTGAGGGACAGTGCCCAGGCCCAGAGTTCAGGCTCCAAGACCGGATCCCCCCTCCCCCTAAAAAATCCCAGTTTAGTTCATATAAGAGAAAGGATTCCATTGTCCTCCTTGTTGCACCCCTCTTCATCTCACTTCCAAAATATGTCTTTGTTAGAAAAGTAACTACAGGCACCAGAAATTAGGATTAGAATTAGTACCTTCTGCCTATTGCACCAATAGGTATGAAATATAAGCTCATGTGTGCACACTGTTCTGTTTCAGCAGGCTTGGGGCTACAGTGTGCCTCTGAAGAGAGTCCGAGATATGGGAGAAGCAAGCCTGCACCCTAGATTTGTCACATGCTTTCTGCTCCCAGAGAATTTGGTTAAGAAAAACCTCAAAGGCATTATTCTCTATGAGAATAACCACATACAAATAGAAGGATGGTGATGATAATTGATGCCCTAAATCAGAATTTCATGTCACAGAAAATTATCTAGAAAAAAATGCTGATAATGCTGATATTTTGGATGCGCATCTATCTGTGTTTGGCTCCTTCCTTGAAATTCATGATGCCTTCTCAAATCTATGAGGGGAAGAGGAGAGAGGTACAGAAGGAAAGAGAAAGGAACACAGAAAATAGAGAGAGAAAGAAAAAAGGAAAAATAGAAAGAAGGGAAGGAAGGGAGGAAGGAAGGAAGGAAGGAAGGAAGGAAGGAAGGAAGGAAAGAAGGAAAGAACAAACAAGGGAAAGATGAAGGAAGGAAGGGAGGAAGAGATGAAAGGAAGAGGGAAGGATGGAAGAAGGGAAGAAGGGAGGAAGGGAGGGAGGGCACTTCTATGTAGGTATGAAGCAAACTTGTTCCAATAGACAAAAAGCTGACTCTAAGAACTGTAGAATAGGGCATTGGACTAGGAATTCAGAGTACCGCAGGGTGAGGGCATGGTGTACTGGGGAATTGAAGGATAGACCCAGGTTAGGGTAGGTGATATAAAACAGGAGGAGGACATTGAAATAAAGATCAAGAAAGCTGGAGTGTGGCTTCACCTGGCCACAAAACAGCTGTGCAAACTTATGGCAATTCACTTCAACTCTTCATGTAAGATAACATTTCAGTAAGAAAACCAGTTTGTCTAGGGTAGTCCCAGTTCTGGCCTGTTGTGACCAGAAGCTTAAATGTCATCATTTGGCCAATCAATTGTAAGGCTCTCTATCTGTGAGCCCATCTCCAGATTTTCTCTTCTGGGTTTGTGGAAACATGCAGGTGGCCAGCTAACACTATTGTGTCTCTTCCTTCCATAGTCTGAGCAATCTTTGACAGAGTAGAAACTCAAAAGTGAGCTTCCAAGGGACAGTTGGAGATGTTAGCCCTAACAGTTATAGTCTGTGAGCCCAAGAAAGCCTTTTAAGGTCTCTGGATTTTCTCTTATCACAGTGGAAACAGTACTCTTATCCTTTTCCTAGGATGATGGAGGTCCTCAGATGACTTGCTAAGAGTCACATGCCTGAAGCAGAGTCTTTAGTCTCCATTGCTGTAATCTTTTTCTTCTCTAGCAAAATTGCCCCCTTTCTTCTCTGTCTGATATTCCCATCTTCCCCTTCAATTTTATGCATAAATTACCAATTTCCCAGCTGAAAGCAATTAAAAGTAATGACTACCTAACTGAATGCAAATAGACAAAGATGGTACATACACTCAAGAACTTACAGTGAAATGGGAGATTATGCTAAGTGAGCACAGAATCCATTAGAATCTCCATTTCTGAAATCCTGTAACAGACTGTGGCCTGCTTGGGAATAACCACACAGACACCCAAGTGGTCAAGTTGATCCCTTAAGTGGGCAGGTGCATTCCTAGCAACAGTTCTTGACCAATTTTATATCATGGAAATTTTAAAGGAGTTTTAGACATGGTTATTCCCAGACCAATTACCTCTCTATCTTTGGAGATGTAGATTTAATGGCCAAAAAAAAAAGAAAGAAAACAAACCCCACGATTGAGAAAAAATAAATAAAAATAATATTCAGTAGATTTCAGGTGTGTCTATGGGTTCTGCCTTTGTAAAGTATTCACAGAGAGGGTGCAAGACTGATGGTCTGAGACTCCATATATCTCAGGATCACAGACTTCTACCAATAGAGACCATTCTAGTGACAAGCATCCCTATGCAGTGTAGTATGCTTCCATAATGTCTGTTGGTTAGAGAAGGGTGTCAGTGGAGATGGCTACAGTTGCTAAATGTCTACTGACCTCCTCTCCCTGAGTCCCACCCATGTAAATAGAAAAAACAGACAGCAATAAGGGTATTAGTAAGAAACGCTAACCAGAATTCAATGGCAACTTGGAAGGTGTGTGATAAAGTGCTCCAAGGCCCACTGGTGCAAGGATCTGGCTTCATGCATTGGGAAAAGCAAATGCTTTAAGTACTAGGTCATTTTTCAGGATGAGCCACACACCAAGAAAGATTCAATTTCTACTTTTGAAGCAGAGTGAACTAGACCATGGGTGTCTGACAGTAACAGAAGACAAAGCAGGCAACAGCAAGTTGGTCCACCAGGATACCCTGTCCAGGTATCCCAGACAGAGTCTTCTCCAGAGGTGGTTATCATAGCCTCCCACCTGAAAGCCAACATTTGCCACTTAAGTGCTTAATTTACTTCTGTTTCCTTGATGATAGGACAAAAGGATATGGACATGTGACACAAGTCCTTCAGAAAGAGACATAAGGCAACAAAAAAACTTTGCCCTTCCAGGCTAAAATGGCAGTGTACCTGAAATGTGAAAGTGGCTAAAGAGACAATTGGCTCACACAGGACTCATGATTGATTCATGAGTGGCACTTGTTAGAAAACAATCCTTTGTTGAGGTCTTATCCTAAGAAAATAATCTCTTAAGAACAATTACAAACTAAAAATTACAATCCGATAAAGTGATATTGTAAGGGAACCTTGGATAGAAAACGCTATAGCTTTCTTTAAACAAAACCAAAAGTTTGCCTTAATGTTATTTATTGTAGTACAAGTTTTATGAAAAGAGATTTTATTGTTGAACGTTGCATAGAGGTCTTATGGTCTAGCGACTTGGTTCTGTCCATGAAGAACTTAGATAAGCCTATCTGTCTTACATATTATCACTAATGTTTCTCAAAATGATTTTATCATGAAGTGATTCCACATAATCATGATTCTACTAGAGAAACAAAAGATATCTCCTTTCACTTTACTCTTCCTAACCTTCTAACTCCCTAAGTTCAAAGAGCATATACTCTGGTTTATTGTTTCTTCTTCTACAAGAATTTCTCCTTCCTACTATTTATGCATGGTGCATTGTTCTAATACCTAAGGCCCTACCCAAAGCTACCTGTCTACCTGTCTAAGGCAGCCCACTAAAACAACAAATATTCTCCACATTTTTCTTTCAAAGTCTAGCAGTAGCTTTTGTTGTTGTAGATATATGTAAGAATAAATCTTTGTGAATACTGTGCTTTTATTTACTACTGAATAATAAAACAATATAATATGTGATATCTATAATGATATCAAATAAAACAATGGCTTCTTTGATATGCCACAAGATAAACAGTAGATGTTTGTCTCAAAATCTCTCCAGTTCTTGGCACATCTGAGGAGAATAAAGAAAATACTAAAAATAAATCACTCCTGTATCTAACTCTAGCTGCCAATTAGCAAACTTTCCACTGGGAGAAAAATTCCCTTCAATCAAGAAACATAACAAACCAATTACTACCCAATCAGAGTTTGAAGTCTATTGTGTGAATTTGGTTTAGGTAAGATACATGATCTATTTCTAAGTCACAGTTCCCAAGAACTTTAGAAACATAGTCAAAGACAAATTCTGGGGACTCAAAACAGCCTAAGAGTTGCTCAATTCTGTGAGAATTCAAAAATGAGCAGCCACCTCATGATGCCATAAAGATGCATAAAGAAAAACATGATCTTTCCTACCATATAAGACTCTACCAGGAAAAGAAAAAAGAAAAGATTGTTAGAGTTCACCACGAAGAGCTGTTTGGGAAGAGTGCCCTCTGTAGCATATTGATGAGTATCTGAGCTTTTCATCTCTGTAATAAACCACCTGAGGCAGCATTTTACAAGGCAATATGTTTTACTTACCTCATAGTATTGGTGGTAGAAGTGCAAGATTGCATGGCCCCAACGGTTTGGCCTCTAATGAAGGTAGCAGATCATGGCATTTTGTGGTGGAAGTGTAGGAACCAGCAAGTAATTATATCTCAAACCAGGAGATGGATGGTCTAAGTGGGGCCAGATTCAACAAGGCCCATAATAACCAACTTTGAAGGACATGATGCAACATCCTAAAGACCTCCCAGTAGGCTCCACCTCCACAACCTTCCGCCACCTCCCAAGAGTGCCATGCTGTGACCAAGATGTAAATTACAATACACTCTTGTGGAGGAGCATTCAAACCCCATCCAGGCCACTGCAGTGATGACATAGTCATTTTTTTTAACCATTCTACCTAGCTGATTGGATCAAGATGGAAGAAGACTGATGAAGCAGAAGAAGGCTCTCTGCCAACAGTACCTTACCCCATCACTTCAGCTTCTCTTTGAGCCTTTGTTTTCTACTATGCTTTCTATGTAGAGAAGGGAATCTCTGATTCTTGGAATTGAGGGAAGAGGTTATGATTACAGTTGACTCAGGTCTGGTGGCTGGTAAACACCATGGATAAAGAGTTTCAGGAGCCCTCAGAGGAAACTGCAGAAGAAACAGAATGGAGAACTTTATATTAAGTAAACCCACGTATATGAGACAAATAGCTTGTTATTTAGTTGACAAGTCATTAAAGACTCAAAGTAAACACTGCAGAAGAGAGAAGTACCACCTAGATGGTGGTACTGACATAGAGAAGACTTAATGGGTAGGTATTCACCTATCACACCTAAGCTAGAAGCATAAATGAATGTGAAGCAATGTGAAGCTTGCTAGGCTGGATAAATACTAAGGCTTATCTGGAGACACTAACAGGCTGGGTTGATGAGCAGTAGAAGAAGAGGGAGTTCTGACTTTAAAGATGTTGCAGGGATGGATACAAGGGCTGTGTGATCAGAAGATGGTGGTATGAGAAAATCAAAGTGAAGAGACAAAGTAGAACATCAAGTCATTATGACTTCTGAGACGTGAAGCACCAGAAAAATAAAATGAGAAGAATGTACTATGTTTATTGTTGAGAACAGAATTGGTACAGGTATCAGGGGCTTAAGGGTGCATCCAGGCAGGAAGTAGGAGTATGAGATTGCAACAATGCTACCAGACCCTAACTCTCGGGTCTCTCATTCATTCCCACCATGAAGGAGAACACACACTGAGTTGAGAAAGGCTTTAAAGCAGGATTCGCAGTATTTGGCAAACTTCACAGAAAGATAATGAGTTAATGAAACTTTATCATTTTTAAAGCTTATGCAAAGGTGTGTGATCATTAAATATGGAAGTACAAACTTGGCGGAATGGAAGTTATGCTATAAATTTAACACCATAATTTCAGTAGACGATTACTCCTATAATAGCTTGCCCGAAACACATCCATATATCAGTATTTCTCCAACCCAGGTTGGTGTAGATTGATTTGGTGAGAGTACAGAGAATGATCCCAATTAGTCAACATCCATCCTTCTATTTACTCTTTCATTTGCCATTGTGCCTTTATCTGAGAAGTCTCAGTGTCTGCCTATATATGCATGAGGATGGCAAACACTGCGAAGTTCACAGCATTCAGAATGTAATCTGGAGAGGGACTTGAAGGCAATCAACTCAGGGCTAACCATGCGCTAAGCGGAGCACCCCCTGTCCTCACAGGGTGAGGATTGTTTCCCAGAACTCTTCTCTCCTTGGGAAAAAGAGTATCTTTTATTTCCACTGCCTCATCAGGGAGAATCTGTACCAAATAAAACTACCGGTTAGGTAGGATGTGGTAGCACATACCCATTATCCCACCTACTCAGGAAGGTAGAGGCAGAAAGGATTGCAAGCACTGGCAAAGTTAGTGAGACCCTGTCACAAAAAGAAAAGCAAATTGAGATGAATCTAAAGGTGTGGTCCAAATGGTAGAATGCCAGCTTAGTATAAGCCAGACCCTAAGTTTAATCCCAGTACTGGAAGAAAAAACAAAGAAGAAGGAAAAATGAAAAACTATATACTAACAAGAAATCTGAGATGGCTTTCTGTTCTTATTTGTACAGGTGGCATGATGCAGCCATGGATGAAGAAGAAGTGATTGTACACCACTTCCTAAGAGCCAAGGAGGAAGAGAAAACTAGAGTCTTTAATCTCTTAAGAACCAATATTATCTCTATTGCTGAGGGGTGGAAGGTAGATAAGTAGAAAGGGCAGAGAGTGGCCTTTAACTAATACAGGGTTATAATGGTAACTTCACTAGAAGGCAGATTTTTGGAAAGGTGGAATGCATGGTCTAGAAACAACTCCTGCTGTCTCTGAATTTGTATCTTTATATGACCTCTACCAGGAATGTTCTCTTGAACAAATATGGATATTGAAATGCCTATGAACTTGGCATGATAGTAAGTTTTAGAGGAGGATGGAGGAATTAGACTCATAGAAATAGTTCACCTTACAGAAGATGATGGAGAGGACCAGATAGCAGTCATGGGGGTCTAAATGCAGACCTGACTCCTGCTTCCCAGATTTCCTAACTCCAAGATCTAAGCCATTGCCCAGTATTTCTAGTTCTCTACAAATACATGTTTTAGTAAGCCAGATTTTTTTGTCTATTCCTTTTCTTGCTTTAGAAATGTAAAGAAATGAATGCTATTCAAGTTGTCTGTCTACCTGGTACAATTACAAATTAATCAGCACAAGGTGCAAACAGTTTCTAACAAATCTTGGGAAGTTTCTCGCAGAGCAAATATTTGGGGATTGATACAAATATTAAACATAGTGACATTATCAAAATCTTTCCCACTCAAATACTAATTCTGGCTAGGCCAGAATTATTGGCTCTAGCCTGTAATCCTTACGACTCAAGAGACTGAGACCTGAGGATCATGGTTTAAAGCCAGCCCAAGCAGGAAAGTCTATGAGACTTTATGTCCAACTGATCACCAAAAAGGCCTAGAGCTATGGCTCAACTGGTAAAGCACTATGCTTGAGCACAAAAGGTCAGGGACAGTACTCAGGCCCTGACTTCAAGCCCCAAAATGGGCACAAAAACAAACAACAAATAGTAATTCTACAGTGAGTGTTGTACATTATATTTGAGAAAGAATCTGGATGGAAAGTGATATAATTTTGATGTTCCTGAGATTACAATGGTACAAGTTACTTGGCTGAGAAAGTATATAGTTTTACAAACTGATGCTCAGGTGATTAACAAAAACTCATGAACCTACTGTCCATTTTCTAAGTGGCTTACTCCAAGACTTTATTTATAGGCCTATTTTTAAAAGAACACAAATGGGCCAATGACTAGTGGCAGGAAAACATGACTGAACCTCTAATGTGTCACTACTATACTTGTGGGTTGGGGTGTAGATACTATGGTGAATTTTAATTGGGCCTAACATTATGCAGGAGAAATTTGGTTAAAATGAACACCAAGAGCAATCTTGGAAGGTTCAGGAAAGGGACAGCATATTCCAACATGACATGTTCTAAGGTAGAACAGATGTTACCAGACCTGCTAACCCTATTCCTTCCCTACTAACAGGAAGATAGGAGCACTCAGTCTCTTTTGGCTTGAGCTGGGAACACCTCCCTTTCTTCCTCACACCTGCTGCAGCTCTTAACTCATGTGAACACCTGGCCTCAGCAGAAGCCCAGAAGTAGTTGTCACAGAGGAAGTTCCCCAGATGTGAAGCCCATAGGGGATCACCCACATTTCCCACACCCTGAAGATGATGAGGGCCACATACTTCTCAGATGCATCTTATACACTTGGCTGAGATGATCCTGTTGTTTTATATGTGTGGCTTTACTCTCCCACGGACCAAATTTAACCTTGATTCCAGCATGACCAGACATTGCAAAATTCTATTCCAACACCTCAGAATACTTTCCCATTAAACACAGACATAACACAAGCACACACACACACACACACACACACACACACACACGCAGCTTAAGATAAATATGCAACAAAACACCTATAATGAACATGGGATAAACAATTCACACAAATATTTGATAACATATGCTGCCTGTTTAGCACTGTAAGTAGTTAAGTAGTTAAAAAAATGATGGTAGTAGAAACCAAATGATGATAATAGCAATGACATGTGTATAGTGTCACATAATTTACAATCACTCATCCATTTTAGCTTCACAAAAATAAGGTATTTTCATTTTGCAATAAATAAATTGACCTTCTGCTGGTGATGTACTGGTCAATATTTAGCAACCAACTTGGGAAAGGGGAGTTAAGCTTAAATTACAAGCAGTGTTTGCCCTTTTCCTTGGTGTAAACATTCCAAAACAGGCTTTTTCCAAGTCACCAACACATTACTGAATGCAGAGTTGGGAAGAGATGTACACACCAACCCTTTGGTTCTCTAGAGACTCTATCCAACATACTTCTGGTTTCAGAACAGGGAAATGACAGTTTCAAGTCCACACAACAAGTTGATTCCCCACCTCACTTCCTTCCTTTTCATTACAGAGCAAACAGGTGCTCACTGAAAAGCCTTTATTAAGAACAGAATTGTAGACCATAGTATGAGCTATGAGAGGCTGAGATCTGAGGATTGAGGTTCAAAGCCAGTCTCAGAAAAGTTCCGGTAACGTTTATCTCCAATTACACAGCAAAAAAATCAGAAGTACAGCTGTAGCTCAAGTGGTAAAGAGCCAACCTTGAACAAAAATCTAAGTGACAAAGCCCAAGCCCTGAATTCAAGCCCCAGTACTAACACACACACACACACACACACACACACACACACACACACACACACACATACACGTGTGCACGCACATACTGGAAAGCTGGGCAAGAAAAGTTGATCAAGGATCTTCAAGTTGGTAGACATTTTTCCCTATGCAGACAGAGGGAGGAGCAATACCAGAGGCCTCTTCCATTCTCCCAAAGCAAGGTCTGGCTCCTATTCAAACTCCATTCCTAGGCTACTATTCCACATGTAAAATCAGTTTTGAATTTGTGTAGAAGATGTATCTATTATCTAAACAATACATTTCTCCTCTTCCTCCCCTCCAAAGGGTCATACATTCCCCAAGCTATTTTGAGCTCAGATGCGCCTACTCACTCACAGTATTTGTCATAACAGGAAGCCAGTTTCATATGCTGTAATCCTCAAACACACGTTCGTTCACATGTGGGGAGCTGGGGAAAAGGGGGAGGTGGAGGGAGGGATGGCTAAGGGAGGACTAAAGAGAAGAGGCCAGAGCTTCCTTCATCCCAGGACTCAGAAATCCTAACCAGACAGCCTTGCTTTTTTCTCTCATTCAGTTACTGATGCCTTTTTTTTTTTTAATAAAGCATTTGAGTAGGCAGCAAAGCCAGTCAGAACTGTTTATTTATAGCCGTGGATTTTCAATGCTGTATAAATTAGAAATCGTTGCTGAATGAGGCCTGCGCCCACTCACACATGCAGGGCCGCTATCTGGGAGTCCTTTCACACGGTTTGACTGTACACAGTCTAAAATGGGAGAAAATGACATGCTCCGAGTCAAATGACAGAGTCACAGCTAAACGGCAAAGCAGAAAACCAGCAATTATTTTTCCTCAGCACAATATGGGGAGTGCGACAGGTGCAATTATCCAATATTATTTAACAGCACCGGTTTGTGGTGTAGGGAGAAAATAAAGGTTTCCGTGTCTTGGAGAAGGGAAGGAAAAAAAAAAAAAAGCCTGCCTTTCAGCTCTCGTTTCTATGGATTAAACCATGTTATGTAAATTGAGACTCGCCAGCATTCCTAAAAGGGAAGAATCGCCTGATGCCAGTAACACCCAAACTCAGTCCACAGAGGCTGGTACCCACTGGAGACTTTTGAAGGCAGGACCCCAGCCGGAGGAGCTGGAGTCTCAACACTTTCCTACTAAAGCAATGGCTCCAGGTGCATTGTGAGGAGATCCAGTTTGCCACTGTCCCCTTTAGAGGATTCATTGTCCTGCTTCTGGCTCATGTACCCCTCTGCTGAATCATGAGGACATCCAAGAGTAGGTGGCCCACAAGGGATTCCTTTGTTTCATGGGTATTCACCATTTTGGTCTTCAATATATTTGTGCTCAGCTCCCCCAAGCCTTTGCCTGAAATAGTCTAGGTTAGAAGATCTCATGTCTTCCAGCTACTGGGAAATAAATAAGTCATTGCCCGTGGCCATACACCTCAACATAGGGCCAGTCCTCAGATCTCCTGAAAAGCTTTTTCCTATCAGCCCTCTGGGGATTCTAAATTCCTCTAAACTCCTCAGAGCCCAGCCCATGTCCTCAGATTCTCTGCATCTATACGTGCATGGTCCTTTGTCAACCATTTTCATACAGGTACACTGGTGCTAGAAAAAGCATTCATCTCAGACCTAGATCATACCTGAGTTCAAAGTCTGACGCCACAGTCTCTGTCTGTATCGGGCCTGGGGAAACCAGTTTGCCTTTCTGAATCTTGATTTCTTATCTAAACAGATAGGATTATTATCTACCATGATTGGGTATAATTAAAGTGATACACAAAAATGCCTGGCATCTGAGACTTCCCAATCCTGTACTGCCTAATTATAAACTCCTGAGGCCAAGGGATTGTCTACCTCAACAAAACCTAACACTGAACCACTGGAAAAAACTGGAAAATAAAGGCTTTACCAACTAATTTCCACCCTGTATTTCCCCAGAAACTCCACCCCTATATTTCCCCAGAGCTCCCTAGCACTTATTTACAATCCTCTCTATGTCCTTAGGAGTAGAATCTCTTTAAATATAATGATCTAAGTATAGTTTCCTTAGTGTGGCAATGGAAAGGCTATAGATAGAATGGGACACACAACAAATTTTGGTAATACAGAGAAGGAGATGAGGAGTAGCCTAGGGTATAAGGATATCATGTAGGTGGAGCTCCAGAGTGAGTGACTGACTATTCTACTTAAAGGACCCTGGGATAGAAGATTCCACATCAAGAGACTGATACTTAATAGAGGAGCAAAAGGGGAACAATCTTGTTTACATTAGTATGTATTTTACATCATGACCTTTCACCTCTTTCTGGCAAATGGTATATGCTCTCATAATCTCATACGGTCTACTCTGATTCTATATCATCTTCATTATGACCTCATCCGTCTCATGGTGAAATTTATTAAAGGCCACGTAAAGGCCTCTGCTCTGTCACACCAAGTATCCTGCAAGTGTAAAAAAATATTAAGTATCTTTTGCTGGGATAAAGCCTTCCTTTGTTATGGAGAGAGACTGTGAACATGGAACTACCTCCTATGACACTCATGCATGTCCTTGTCACTGATGGATGTTGGTTGGTTTGGAAGGGAATGTTGGTAGAGAGTATGTGTCACTGAGTGAATGTGGAGATGTTGTGAGAAAAGGAACGGGAATAGAAAGGGATCCACTGCAGACACCAAGGGAGCACACAGCTCATTTAGTCTACAATTGTCGGTGAGGAGTTGCCAAGAAATGCCTGGGTAGGTGTGAAGAGAGCAATGATGTTTACAGTCTCCCAAAAAGACCTGACTGGTCAACTGAATATTGTGTGTCT